ATTTATGCCATCTTAATTTTACCACAATAACAACAATAACAGACTGCATTTCACACTTGTAAGTTAAAGGCAAAAGTTCTAGGAGTTTAGGAACCAGAGACAGGGAAATTAATATCTTTGGCCACATATTGAGTTTGAATATGCCTGGGAATGAATATTTGAATATCTGGGAAGAAATCTGTCTCAAAAAAGAAAAGTGTATGTGGGGCTGGAGAGATGGCTCAGTGGTTACGAGCACTTGCTGCTCTTTCAGAGGACCTGGGTTCAATTCTCAGCGCCCACAGGGGCAACTCACAACTGTTTGTATCTCTTGTTTCCAGGGGATCTGATACCCTCACACACACATACATGCAGGCAAAACACCATGAAACAAAAATAAAATAAAAACAGAAGAGTATATGTGTGTAAGGGTGGAGAGACAGGTCTGAAGTTAAGAGCACCTGTGTCTCTTGTAGAGATTTGATTCCCAGAACCCACACATGGTGGCTCACACCATCTGTAATTCCAATTCCATGGTGAACATATATATAAAAGACCATAAAAATAAGGATAAGATCCCAGACTCAACACCAAAGGTTATTAACTATTTGATTAAATAGTGTCTTTTCCTCATACTGATATTTCTCTCCATAGGTTTTTTTGTTTGTTTTTCAAGACAGGGTTTCTTAGTGACCGTACAAGTTTACACTACCACAGCAATGGAGGAGTGCTCCTCTTTCTCCACATCCTCTCCAGCATAGACTGTCGTTGGTGTTTTAGATGTTAGCCATTCTAGTCGGTGTAAAATGGTATCTCAGAGTTGTTTTGAATTGCATTTCCCTGATGGCTAAGGATGTTGAGCAGTATGGCGTTTCTCAGGAAAATGGTAATCAATCTACTTCAAGATCCAGCAACTCCACTCTTGGGCACATACCCAAAGAATGCACATTCATATAACATGGACATATGTTCAACTATGTTCATAGCAGCGTTGTTTGTAATAGCCAAAACCTAGAAGCAACCTACCTAGATGCCCCTCAACTGAAGAATGGATGGAGAAAATGTGGTACATCTACACAATGGAGCAGAAAAAAACAATGAAATCTTGAAATCCACAGGCAAATGAGTGGAACTGGAAGAAAACATCCTGAGCGAGGTAACCCAACCACAGAAAGACAAGTATGCTCATAGAGCGAAGGATATTAGACATAGAGCGAAGGTTCACCTGCCTACAATCCACACCACCAAAGAAACTAGGGAACATGGAGGACCCTAAGAGAGAAACACATGGTCCCCCGAAGAAGGTGAAAGGGACAAGGACCCTTGAGCAAATTGGGTGCATGGGTGGGGGGCAGATAGGAAAAAGGGAAGGGGAGAACAAGAGGAGGGGGGAGACCAAGAGAAGGGATGAGAACAAGAGGGATCAGGAAGACTGAGACAGGGGAGAAATAGAGGAGAGCAAGAAAAGAGACACCTTAATAGAGGGAGCCAGTATATGCTTAAAGAGAAATCTGGCACCAGGGAAATGTTCAGAGGTCCACAAGGATGACCCCCAAATAAGAATCTAGGCAGTGGTAGAGAGGTTGCCTTTGATGTTCTTCCCCTATAATGAGATTGATGACTACCTTAATTGCCATTCTAGACCCTTCATCCAGTAGTTGATCAAAGAAGCAGTCACCCACAGCTAAACACTGAGCCATACTCTTGGAATCCAGTTGTAGACAGTGAGAGAGATGAGCAAAGGAGTCAAGACTGTGCTGGAGAAACCTACAGAAAAACAGTTGATCTGACCTAGTGAGAGCATGGAGACCCTAGCCATAAAGCAGGGGAACCAGCATTGGACAGAACCAAGCCCTCTGAATGTGGGTGCCAGTTAGGAGGCCTGGGCAGTCTATGGGATCTCTAACAGTGGAGTTAGTGTTTATCCTTAGTGCACAAATGGACTCTGGGAGCCCATTCTCTAGGGAGGGATACTATTAGCCCAGATACACGAAAGAGGGCCTAGGCCCTCCCCCAAAGAATATGACAGACTTTGATGATCCCTCATGGAAGGCCTCACACTATTCTTGGGGAGTGGGTAGGAGGTGGGTTGGGGGAGCTGGTGGGGAGCATGGGAGGATGGGAGGGCAAGGGAATGGGGGATTGATATGTAAAATAAAATTGTTTCTAAAATAAATCATACAAGCAAAAGCAAAAAAAAAAAAAAAAAAAGGTTTCTTTGTATAGCCCTGGCTGTCCTGGAACTCACTCTGTAGACCAGGCTGGCCTTGGAAACTCAAACTCACAGAGATCCACTCTCCTCTGTCTCCCTAGTGCTTGGATTAAAGGTGTAGGCCACCACAGCCCAGCAGTTTTTTTTAAACTATTAACAATAATAGCAGTGTACTGTGGGGTTCATATTCATACAAATAAAATTTATGACAACAAAAGCACCAAGACTAGGAGAGGATGTATAGTACTATCTAAACCAACTATAATCATTACAAAATTATAAGCAATAAAATGAAATAATATTAACTCAAATGAAAATAGGAAGAAAAGAGGAAAAGAGTACAAAGAACAAATAAATGTATAGACAAAATAGCAAGATGGCAAGTCATAACAATATCAATAAACATATTGAATTATAACATATAAGTATCCATTTTATTGTACTTGTGAAAAGCAAATGGATAGAAAAACATACCTCGGTGATACTAAAGTTAAAAGGTTTCAATGCTAAAAAATTAATGACCTAATAAGTAAGTACAAACATACTGTTGTTTATGAGTCAGAGTACTAATAGTTCCAGATTGTATTCTCCCCTCTGACCATTCTTTTGTTCTTTAAACCATTGTTATAGACAATCTAGGGATTTGTGCATGGTAGGGAATCTGTGCCACATCGATAGCCCATTTTCCTCCATTTTATTTATACATTCAATGCAATCTCAAAGTCATAGCAATCATTTTTCCTAGGAATTAATAAACTGATTATAAAATTCATAGACGTGAAAAGAATAGAGTAGCAAAAAAGCCTTGGAAATGAATAGGGTTGGAGAATCAACTGTATCTGATTTCAAGATGCTATGTAGCTTAGTAATGATGACTGTGGTACCCACATGGAGACAAAACAGGTAACTATTATTAAAAGAAGTCAGACATAAACTCATTTGTAAATGATTGATCTTCAAAAAGTGCTAGAACAGTTGGGTTTTCAATGTGAAACTGCTGAATTCTAAACTGTGTTTTCTATTTCATGTTAAAAAGAAACAAAAAACCACAAATGGATCGCAGGACTAAAACTATCACTGTGCAGACAAAAATCCTTGTGACACTAGATTAGGCTAAGATATTTTAGATGTAAAATATTTTAGACATCAAAATTTGTCTATAGAGGAATCTGGCTATCAGTGAGATTCTTCTTAAAAATAAAAGGCTGGGGCTGGAGAGATGGCTCAGAGGTTAAGAGCACTGACTGCTCTTCCAGAGGTCCTGAGTTCAATTCCCAGCAACCACATGGTGGCTGACAACCATCCGTAATGAGATCTGGTGCCCTCTCCTGGCTTGCAGACATACATAGAGGCAGGATGTTGTATTCATAATAAATAAATAAAAATCTTAAAAAAAAAAGAAAAGAAAAAGCTGGCTAGGCACTGGTGGCACACGCCTTTAATCCCAGCACCCGGGAGGCAGAGGCAGGCGGATCTCTGTGAGTTCGAAGCCAGCATGGTCTACAGAGCGAGTTCCAGGACAGACTCCAAAACAATAGAGAAACCTTGTCTTGAAAAAACCAAAAAAAAAAAAAAATCCCAAGGCTGGGTTTACCAGAGATTACCAGAGATGATGGATGATTTCAAGGACATAGTGTGTTCTAGACACAACAGGACTGACATTTCAACTTAGAGACTGTCAGCATGCCCAGGTTCTTCACAGGTTCAAACCAGATAAGAGTCCAGCACTGAGCGGGAAAGATGGCCATGGGGTCTGTCTTACCTAGTTTTTATGTTAATTTGGCACAAGCTAGAGTCATCTAAGACAACTGAGAAAATGCCACCATAAGATGGGCTGTAGGAAAGCCTTTAGAACATTTTCTTAATTAGTGATTGGTGTGGGAGGACTCAGTTTATTGGTCACCCCAGGCTGGTGGTCCTGGCTTCTAAGAAAGCAAGCTAAGCAAACCATGAGCACCTGCATTTGTTTCTGCCTCCAGGTTCCTGCCTTGAGTTCCTGCTGTGACTTCCTTTGATGACCAATGATATGGAAGTATAAGCCAATTTTCCTTCCCAAGTTACTTGGTCATGGTGTCTCATTATAGCAATAGTGATACTAAGATAGGGTTCCAGGCCCAGCACTAACCAAGAGCCTGTCTGCAACTGATACACACTGGTAAAAGGAAAGTAGGGTCTTTCTAACGGGGTCTCACTGAGTATGCCAACCACACTCAGTGCTGCAGGCCCCACACCAAACAAGCTCAATGGCATTTTTGTGGGCCTTTTGTTTCATACTGATTTGTTTTGGCATTTTTTGGTCTTTGTATGTGATTCTGGGTCTTTTTGTGAGAGACTGAAAACAAGGTTGGGTGAGTAGGGAGGTGGAGAGGATCTGGGAGAAACTGGAGGGAAAAACATGATCAAATATATTGTGTGAAAATTTTTTTCGATAAAAATAACAAAAACTTTTTTTAAATCAAACAGAAACAACAATCAAATCTTTAAAGATGAATTGTCAGCAGGAACCTTAATGTCAATAAAATGTGCCAAACTAGTTTTGCCGGTTGGTATCTCAGAAGGTGAATCTTTGTGTGTCTAGCCTCGTGCATACTTCCTCATTCTTGGCATTTAGTCTCCCCCTTCTGTTCGGCTTTGCCATCTACTCTAAGTTGTTTCCTAAAGTTTCAACATTCAGTGAATTTCAGAAATTTGAACTAATTTTGCAACCAGCTTATTTTCAGACTGCTCGGCAAATAACTGTCGCTATTAACAAAGAGTGCAGACAAGCAAGTACCGAGATCCTGCCATGCCTTCCGAGCTAGCCACTCACCTCTTGGGAAAGCTGCCTTACTTGTTCCTTCTGACGTTCCAGATCTTTTAAAATTAATGAGTTTTGTTTTTCTAACTGAAGAACTCTTCTTGCCAAGTGGACGCTAGATGAATAAAATAAAAAAGCATTCATGTATACAAAAGTAGAATGTATCAATATATTGATAAATATATCCTAGAAAATAGACATCATTTCACAACAACACATATATATTAACAAAGAAAATGACAATACAAAGTAAAAAAACACAAGAGCAATTCTTCAACTCCGAACTCCGAAAGTAACAACCCTAACATTTCCATATGATAACTGTCATATACTGGTTACCGAGATCATGGTTTCCAACTATTCCTATCAAAATAGTCTTACATTAATTATGTTACTAGCGCGACAGAAAAAGATAGCCATTTACAGCTTTATCATCTTAACAAAAGTTTCCCAGTTACAAATCAGCCAGGAAATTAATTGGATATTATGCACAACAAGTTTACATTTTGCCAAGTGTTTACACAGGCCAATATTATAAATTTTATAAAAGAAAACATAACCTAACAGGTTTCCTATTGCAGGTGGAGGTGGAGGAGATATGTAAAATGTGAAGAATGACCACAGTACAGGCAAAGAGTCCATACTAAGAACTTCCCTTCCTTCCAATGGTTTGCACCACCACAGTGCACACCCAACCCCTCTTCCAGGCAGGGTCTTAGTCTATAGCCTAGGTAAGCCTCAATTCATGACTTCCTTATAGTAGCCCAAGGGTTAGGATCATAGGTATATATCATCATGCTTTGTAGCCCATCACTACAAAAAGCATACGTTTTTTCTAGATTTATTCATTTATTATTTATGCAGTATTCTGTGTGAGCTACCATGTGGTTGCTGGGAATTGAACTCGGGATCTTTGGAAGAACAGCTAGTACTCTTAACCTCTGAGCCACCTTTTCCAGCTCCCACATTTCATTTTTAAGAAACAATGTTTTTTTTTTTTTATTTTTTTGGTTTTTACGAGACAGGGTTTCTCTGTATTGTTTTGGAGGCTGTCGGACCAGCACGGCCTCGAACTCACAGAGATCTGTCTGCCTCTGCCTCCCGAGTGCTGGGATTAAAGGAGTGCGCCACCACTGCCCGGCGAAACAATGTTTTAAGGAAAAAATTTTCATCTACTTAAATAATTCCAATGACTCAATGAAAACACATAGAATTCTTTAAAGACTTCCCAGAAATGCCAAGAAACCATGTTCTCAAGACCTACTCTGCATTTTCATGTTCCGTATTAGCTTACCTATCAACTTAATCCATGAATGTAGAATTCATGGAATCCAAATGGACAGAACGGTTCAATGTTTTTTATTTTCTTTAAATTTCCACCAAGCAACACTATATAATAGAATATGAACCTTATTGTATACAACGAACACAACAAATACCAATTTAAGTGTAGAGTTGTACAAGTATCACTACAACATAATCTGAGAACATGTCTGCTACCCTATTAACAGCCATTCTTTATTTTTTCCACTCTCTATTAAATACCTCTTAATCCCTCCACTCCATTTTAAGGAGATTCAACCACTTTATTCTTCATGGACTTTAAAGGGATTTATTGTTTACATTTTTTCGTTTTTTACTCTAAAGACCACACTTCATGTACAACAATGCAATTTACATATTAACATTGTAATGGAATTTGACATAGTTCTGTATAGAAAAAAATATTCAGGTTACAAAACCTCTCCTTCCAAAGGAAAAGAAAAAAAATCACATTTTCTTCATGAGTCAACACGACAATGTATAGTTTGGGTTTTTTGAGATGGGATTTCTTTTTGTAAAACATAGTTCTATACAAAACTATGTAGACTAGGCTGGCTTTGAACTCAGAGATCTGTCTGCTTCTGCCTTCTGAGTCCTGGAATTAAACATATTCACTACCACAACTGGATCCAATGAAATATCTTAATGTAAAATTTGTATTAAATCTGTTGGTTTTAAATGTTGCTTTTAGCTGTATCTGTAAACAAAATACTTTGAATCGCTAGCTATACTTTTGTTTAATTAAAAAACCCTGATTATTAATCACTTTCATCTTTCTCACCTTTCATATCATACATGCACTGGGTGTAGTTCCATGTTTTTGTGTCTCATAGAGCTTAACCTTTATAGTCTTTTCTAAATAACAATTTCTCATCAAATGCTGAAGGCATAGACGATATTTGTGTAATACTGATTACAAAAGAATGAACACAGCTAAATTTAATTATAAAGAAATACAGATGAGATGGGGTTGTATGCAAATAAAATCTTGGGTTTTTTTCACGAAGAGATGGTTGAAATAAGGAGGTGCAATAGTCACTGCCTTTAAATATCATCCTGAAGATGACGGTGACTTGGTGATGTCCAGTCAAATACATCATACTGCTCATTTGATTTGGTAATTTGTTTTGAGCATAATGCTTTGATGTAGATATGGTGACAAAATGCAAACTACCACATGACAAACACTGAATCAAGACATTCTATACCAGTGCTGTAGTGTTAACACAGGGGCAAAATCCTAATAGCAGTGCACTTGGTTTTAATTAAGACATTCTGAGAGAGAAAAATAATGCCAAGCAGAAGGAAGGTGCTACAGCTTGGGTATGAAATGCCCTAAGTGTAGTTCCAGGGATCCCACCCCTCTTCTGATCACAGGCACCAGACACACACATACAGCAAATTCATACGTGAAGGCAAAACTCTCACATACATAAAGCAAAATAAGAAAACACAAAGAATTTTTAAAAATTCTACATTAGGCAGTATATTTTACATATTAAAAATGTTCTAAAAATGTCTGCCAGCATCCAGATCAGCCCAAACAAAGACAAGGCACCAAGACAACAGTGCTTGGGTGTTACCCGTGTAGTGCGGAAGCACGAGCAATGCACACAGCCAGAAAATCTTGTTTGGTCTTTTCAAATAGTTGCTAATCAAACAAAAACATTACTTCAGATTTCAAGTTTTGTCATGCCAAGGAGTTAATTTTATTATAATCTACTTCAATTATATAAGCCACTTTGGCTTTCCACAATTGTGTACCAGAGTTTTAAGAAATGTTAGCAATTTATTTATGCTTATATAAAACTTCAAAGTGTGAGTCACTGTACTTACACGTTGATGAGAAATACAAAGCTACAGCTACCACTTCCCAGGAAACTGGCATTAGAGTGCCTTCAGAGACGGGCTCACAACAAAGAAAGCAAATGCCCATGTTTCATGTATTTTAAAAGGCTCATTAAAGATTTAAAACAAAAGTAGTTTACTTGAATTATTTTAATTAGTGTCTAGGGAGAAATTTTAGAACCCTGGCCTGATAAACTACCTCATGTTTACTGGATACTTTATGCCAAACAGTGTGTGGTGACTTTTATATACATTTTTAAAATATTCTTTTGGTTACAAGAGGCAATCATTTTTTTCATTGGCTTTACTACATTTATTGACAGTAACATGGCACTCAAAAACAAAAAGCCTAAATATAAAATTTTTAGGTAGTTAATGAAGATGATTTTTAGCCAGGCGTGGTGGTTCACGCCTTTAACTCCCAGCACTTGGGAGGCAGAGGCAGATGGATCTCTGTGAGTTCCTGGATAGCCAGGGATGTTACACATTGAAACCCTGTCTCAAAAAACAGGAAAAAAAGTTTAAACTTAGTTTTAAAGTTAGCATAAAACGTAATAGATTTCAGCAGGATATGTCACACTTATATGCCACTATACTTTGTTCTCATGTTCATCTCTCTGTTCTCATGCCCTATCCCCATTTCAACAATTTTTATTCCTCCCAGTTAGTATATTTTGAAGAATGTTCGCTGATAGGAAAATGTGCACGATGGAATGTTAAGGCTAAAAACTAAACTACTATAAATGTATAACGTCCAAAAATACGAGGAAATTAATATTTGTATAAATTTCTGACTGGTTATTTTAAATAATGGGATTACCATCAATTTACCAAATTTTTAAAATAAAATAAATATTTATAATCAATTAAATGTTAACATAAAATATTTATTATTGGCTGCTAAATAGATACAATTTTAAATCAAATTAAGTATGAAGGAGATACATTATATAGCAGTTGAGAATTAAGTTCCTTTCAATTTTTAATACACTTTTGCATAAGCTGATATATGACAACTTTATTATGCAAGCACTCCACCATTTACTGCTATGAGTCATTTTATACAACTCACTTTAAATTTGCATTGCTTTCATTTCGAATGCCAAAGACTAATAAGTATAGATTCTCTAAAGGCTACATTGCTCTTGTCTTAAATAAATTTCAAGAGGGTACAAGGCAAATCACTTTCTGCACAAATAGTCCTCAAGAAACCAAATGTTGATTTTGCAATCTTCAAACATGCATCAAATCCTAAAGTGGGTTAGGTGCCAATAGTCAAATTGTGCATAGTAGACACTCACTAAAGTTGCTGAATGAATAGGTGTAGGGATGCATACATGTCCTCTTTGGATGTCTAGACTTACACACTCTCTTCCCTCAGTTTAGATGACCTGAGAAGCACTTCCTCAGAATAGCTCTCTGGCTCACCATGAGAAGAATGGCTGGCACCAGCTGGCAGGGGTATTAATAGCATACCCATTAGGCACTTGTTCAGGGCTCACAGACAGCTCAGTGATAGAATCTTCAGAAATATTTGGACAGTTAAGATCATTTGGACTATGAATCACTTGTGGTTCTTTAAAATCATTGGGGATTAAACAAAACAACAACAACAACAAAACCCAACTTCTGGTTTTAGAAACTTCCTTAAAAAATAAGGTTCAATTGCTTTGTAGCAATATTTTTCATGTTAGAACTAATTAATTATGCTACCTTCACACCAGCCTTTAGAGTACCAGGAAGGGATAGGGCGGCAACCAATTCTTCAAATATATTTAACTTAGAAGCACCCCAACCTCTACTAAACAGAGGAAACCATTCCAGCTACAAACTGATACTTCCTATTCTACATCTATTTGTGATGTAGAGTTTTCAAATATTTAATCAAGAAACAACATAAGCTCTTAAGCATTCTTTCTTGCTTCCTTTGCAATAGTATCCCAAAGTACTTTAGATAGTCATAAGGATACATTATTTTCTTTATGCTGTTACACCTGTCACTTCAACTATCTACAAAGAAACTGGAGAGACAGTTCAGTGGTTGAGAGCGTATACTACTCTGTAAAGACCCATGTTTCGTTCCCAGCTCCCATGATGGGCAGCTGACAACCACCTGTAATGGCAGCTCAGGAGACGGGATGATCTCTTTCAGACACACATGTGCACAGACGCACACACAGAGAACTGACACCTCTTTCCTGCTGTGCAGGAACCTGAGCTCACATGCGCACAGACATGTGCATAAATACAGGTGTGTGCACACACACACTTAAGAACTAAAATCTTAGCTGGGCAGCGGTGGTGACCACCTTTAGTCCCAGCACTCAGGAGACAGAGGCAGGCAGATGGCTCAGTTCAAGTTCAGTCTGGCCTACAGAGTGAGTTCTAGGACAGCCAGTGTTATACAGAGAACCCCCGTCTTGAAAAATAAAAACAAAACACACAAAATCTTTTAAAATTGAAAACATCTACAAATGTATCACAAGATTGTTTTTCTTATTTTGTATGTTTCTGAATTTCTAAATTAGCCACAAAACAATAGACTATCAGTGTTGAAAACTTGAGCATTGAGGTAAAGAATTTTTGTTTTTTTCACTAGGTATTCTCCACTGGGCAAGGGAAAGTCAGAGTTAAATAAGAAGTGGTTGCTGATCATGAAGAACTTCTATCTAGGTGAGGAAATTACATGGGGAATATAGCAAAATATTCTACTGTGATGTAGAGAAACCATGGTTACCAGGGGAGATGTGGTATCACAGTCACTTTGAGTAAAGAGGCAAATAAGGTTGCTGCTGATGCAGGGACACATTATGGAGGGGCTTGCAAGGCTGGCAGGAGGCTCAGGTTGGAGGAGGGAGACGCAGAGCCGCCCATGTTCCTGGAGAGCAGGACGCACCGAAGGAGCAAGAGCCAGCGGCACTGGCGGTGCAGGCTTTGCTGGCGTAGTAGAAGGGCTTTCCAGCAGAGCTGCACATGAGCTCAGCACACCCTCTAGTCAGGCATCTCGGTCTCCACGGAGCCTCAGCTGGAAATGCTCTTTCTCTCTCTCTCTCCTTCCATCCCCTTACTTGCCTTTCCCCCGAGGTCTATTCTTTCCTCATTTCTTCTTCTTCTTGCTATGTAGACCACAGACTGGCCTAGAATTCATTGTATGGCTCAGGACTCAAGTTTTAAGACCTCCTGTCTGGTGATGGGCATCAGGTGCATACCATCTCATGTGACTAGCCTTGCGTGGTTTATTTTTTATATGAATTAGCAATCTCACAGGATCTAGAAACATCTAGGAGTCAAGCTTCAGCATGTAAGAGATTATCTAGATTAGATGAATTGAGGTGTAAGGGCCTGCCCTAAATGTGGTGGCACCATTCCAGGAGTAGGCATTCCAAAATGAACATAAGAGAAATGGAGCCATCAACAGCATCTCACATTCTGCTTCCTTACTGTGAATGCAATGCCACCAGCTACCTCAAGCTCCGGCAGCCATGACTTCTTCATCATGATGGACTGTGAACCCTTGAAACTTGAGTCAAAACAAACCCTTGCTACCTTAAGTGGCTTTGTCAGCTATTTTGTCACAAGACAGGTAACTAAAACACTCTGTAGAGATTTAGCTGCAACATACATTCTTTCTCCATATTTCCTCCTTTAATATATATATTTTACCATATATAATATTATAAATAACATGTTATATATATTTAAAGCACATATAGAGGAATATAGTAGATGAATAATAAAACAAGGGATGTAGGAATTGAAGGTAGCATATAATTAATTAGTTCTAACCTGAAAAATATTGCTACAAAGCATTTATCTTTATCTGAAATTAATGTGAAAATAAAATGGCTTTTAAAAAGTTACTGCATCTAACACCATGAAAGTTCTAATGTACATATCTACTAACCATTAAGTTCACTTAAATATAGATGAAGCTCATGGTTATTACCATGTCCTACTTTGTGAGCAATTTAATATTTATGAATATTAAGAACACGTAACTTTATCATTCAACTCAGTAGTACATTATCAAAATGTACTATGTAATTACACTTAGATAAGATAAATCTATATCGATTTTACCTTTGCTTTAGTCGTCTTTTAGCTGTTGTGGGAACATTAGCACCATAGCCATAGGAATAAAGAATCCTTTCAGCCTCATCTTCATTTTCAACTGAAAAATATTAAAATGCGTGATGTGGAATAGCATTTTTCCTTAAAAAGCATAGCAGAAGTGACAATGAAAGATCATGATAACAAATTAAGAATCCCAAGAACATTCATAAAGGCTAATGCATATTTAGAGAGAGGTGAAACAGAGTACTCTTGCTTGGAGTTGCCGATCTACTTTTAGAAGATGTTGAAGGATGACGTCACCTGACAGGCTATGTTTTCTGATGGAGCACAGTAACTCAGGTATGGTAGTTATTCTGAAGGATTGATTCAAAGGCTTTTAACATGAACTATATTATAGAATTCAACAGTGTTATACAATCATTTTGATGAAGGTGAATTTTGTTTTGTTCTGGAGACACGTTCTTATATAACCCAGGCTTCCCCTGAGCTTGCGAAGTCAAGCACACCCCTCACCTCTGAGTCCTGGGATTACAGAAACATACAACCATGCTGGCGTACATGGTGCCCACCCAGGCCTGAATCCTTAGCTTCCTAAACACTTGGCAGAAAATCTGCCCCCAGAGCTCATCTCTAATTCCCAAAAGACATGATTGGCATTAATTTTGTAACTGCAAAACAATTTCAGGGAAGATAATTTAAAAAAGACTGCAATTGTCATAGAACTGCCTATAACGTTTTTGAACTAATGGGTTAGCTTCTCAATGGGTAAAAGTTTCAATGCAATGCCATGTTTAACTGTGTATGTGTGTGTGCGCCCGCGTGCAAGCGCACGTGTGTACATGCATTTGTGTATGCATGCACAAGTATGCTATAGTGTATGTGAAGAAGTCGGGATGATCTGCAAGGTTTGTATTCTGAGGACTGAATAGGTGAGCAGGCAGGCGCTGTGGCAACTGCCCTTATCTGCTGAGCATTCTGTGGGCTGTAATGACATTTCCCTGAAAACAGGGACTTACAGATCTTGATCAGGGCTGAAGAGATGGCTCAGCTGTTAAAGGCTAGGCTCACAACCAAAACAAACAAACAAACAAACAAAAAAAAAACTTGACCAGCCAGACTGTGGTGGCCCATGCCTTTAATCCCAGCACTTGAGAGGCAGAGGCAGGCAAATCTGAGTCCAAGGCCAGACTGGTCTACAGAGCGAGTTCCAGAACAGCCAAAGATACATAAAGAAACCCTGTCTCAAAAAACCAAACCAAACCAAAACAAACCAAACCAAATCAAACAAACAAACAAAAAACAAAAAAACTTGACCAAAGGCCATAAAAACCAAACCAAACAAACAAACAAACAAACAACAAAAAACTTGACCAAAGGCCATAAAAAATAGTTTTACTAAGTATTTAAAGGGATATGAAGTTCTGTACATAGCATCCCCATTTTTATGTTAACAGGCAAAACTAATTGAAGGAGAGCTTCAGACTTAGCACAAAGCAAATACACATTGAGTGAAGCTTGACCATTCATGACCATCAGTGTATTATGTACCTAATTCTGGTAAGAACTTCTGTGGCAAAGATTGTTTTTAAATGTATAGCTGTTTTCCTTTAATTTTGTTCATATCTTCCATGGCAAACCAGGACAAGCCTTTAGATGTAGGATTATAGTTAGCAGGGGCACATGAAAGAGATGCTATCTCACTGCCAGTAAACCAGCCATTACTTAACTACCGAGTCAAGGCAATCTGTAACACGATGCTAGAAGTAAAGCTATCACTGCACATATATTTGATTCTTGTCTGTCTTAAATGGCTCTAAATTCAGTGCAGAGAAAGGTAAATTTAGCTAGCATAGTTAGGTAATGATAGAAGTGCTAGATCTGAGGTTAATGCTATCATGCAGTAACTCTTCTTGGGATTCGATTAGAAAAACAAAGTACTATACAACATGGGAAGTGATATAAAAAGACAGAATAGCATGCTTTAGAAGCAGAGCACAAAGCAACTGTATTCTCCTACTGGAAGTCATTAGCAAGATGTGGAAATTGATATTCAGAGAAGGCACAGTCGAGGATTACATTTGCAGAGGCATAATCTTGTAGAGTACACACTTTTCATATTGGTGACAAATATGGCTGGATTTAATCTGGAAACTGTTGGTGAAAGGAGCCTTAGTCCTAATAGCCAGTCTATATAACATAAGCAAGGTGGAACACACTATCATAATCCTGCAACTAGGCTGGCAAAGTAAGGAGGTTCAGGAGTTGAAGTCATCCTTTATACAAGTATGAAGCCCACCATGGTGACACAGGTCTGTGTCTCTGCCTAATACAGATATATGTACACACACACACACACACACACACACACACACACACACACACACACACACACACACACGGTGGGAGGACAGACACATGAAAATTAAACATCAAAGATTATAATGTAGTATACTATTCAATTTCAAAATTCATGTATCACTCCCCTTTGGTTCTTTCGCATCCATACAATGAGTGAATTACATACATAAAAATCTATCAATTTAACTCACTTTTTGAGTCTAGCTATTGAAAATTTATACCAAGTAATACTGAAAATAGAAACTATTCTTTAAAAAAGATCATCGCTTATATTTTAAATATGTACCACGGTATGTTTAGCAATGCCAGCTTTCCTCTGTAACCACAAGAAAAAACTATACATGGACAAGCAAAGGGGGTGGGGAGCAGACTTACTTTCTGCTGTTTGCATTATTATTTCGTCAAGTTCTTTTTCCAATTTCTCGTAAATGTCTAACCTTGCCTGATGCTCGGAGTTCTGTGCTTCGAGTTCAGTAATGCGTTTTTCAGAAGAAGTTTGGAGACTATAAAATTCCTTAGTTAAAACCTAGTAGTGGAAGGAAAGAACGACAAAAGGTCAAAGAAGTAAGAATTACTCAGGTTCACAGCTAAAAGAAAAAGACGATGCAAAGATATATTTATGCCTTTTCTTTTTCCAGCTACCCAAATATTAAGGAAAAGTAGCTCAACAGAGAGGACTAATGAGGCAAAAACATTTATTTGTAAGGTAAATAATTCTTGTGTTTTTAACTGGAAGTTATGAAATGCTTTGTCAATAATTACATATGCTGAATAAAATTGAATTTTGGGGCAAGACTGATAGTTGCTTGTTAAGAGTTCCAGCAGATGTAACAGTGTGAGATCTACCTGGGGTCAGTTATTGGGCAGTCAGTACCAAACTGTATAAAAATGATGGAAGGAACTCTTCAGCTTTCCATTAGTTACTTAACCTGTCCTGGCAATGCTTTTAGCATTTTTGGTTTCCTAACAGGCTTGAGTCCAAATCAAAAGTAAATGTAAATCCCACATAGGGCAATGGCAGAAATGTCTTTGCGAAGAAAAGGTTCTTAAAAAATCCTTTAAAAAGGGATTAAGAGATGCAAATTTTTTTATTATTATTACACAAATACAATTACAACCTGCTGAATCCATTTATTGACTTTTCTTTTTTTAAGCTAGTGCGGGGCTTGCCAGACAGCTTGGCACTTACTGTATTAAGTCTGGTGACCTGAGTCAATCCCTGTGACCCATGAAGGTGGGAGAGCATCAGCTCTACCAAGTCTTCCTTCATCTTCACACACGTGCAGAGGCAAAATGTTCACGCATATACACATGCTATTTACACACGCAAGAGCAATGAATTACATTTTTATGTTTATTTTACGGTGCTGGGGTTTGAACCTAGGATCTTGTGCATGCTGGTAACAGCTTTGCCACTCAGCTACATTCACAACCCAATGATAAAATTTAAATAGTCAGTGTACATAGCTTTATGAGGGGCTCTGTCTACTGTTAAAAAAGTATATCTTATACAACATGACATCTAAAATACCAATTGATACTATGGCACACAACTGTTTTTAGTGTGACCATAGTAAGATTTATAGTGTTAAGTTTTTCACTGTTATATAAATAACCCTGCAATGAGCATCTGTGCATGAAGCATTTTACATAGTTAAAAATATAGCCTAACAAATACACAGTGCCAAATTGTTTTCCAAAAACAATATACTCATCTGGAATGCACAGATCTTTTAAAGTAGTACTGAAATGACAGCTCAACAAATGCCTAAAAGGTATCTTAGTATTATACAAACAAACAAAACTCACACATTTCCTAACTAGAAACAAATTTTATAATATAATTGATTCACATTATAATTTAGGTAAATGGTTTAATACATGATTAATTTTCAATTAGGGAAGGCTTAAAACATTTTTGTAAACTTTAAAAAATTTAGAATTTATTTTTATGCATAGTGTTTAAGCTAATTGTATGTCTATGCCAGTGGAGGCCAGAAGGGGGCACTAGATCTCCTGGAACTGGAGTTATAGATGGTTGTAAGCCGTAAGCCACCATGTGGTTGCTGGAAATAGAACTTGGGTCCTCTGAAGAGTAGCCAGTATGGTTACCAATCTCTTCAGCCCCCAGGAAAGGATTTTCTTTGACTAATCTTCAGTTTCATTATCATCCATTTTGTATTGACCTAAAATTGTATGTTTCCATAACATTTATACACAGAGAAAAACTAGAAATGTAAAATGGTTAAGTTTAGCTGGTATTCAGATATCATCTATTTTAAAACATAATAAATATTTCATTTCTTTAGAGACTTCTTTAAAAATATGGAATATCTCTATCTGTTCTTTGACTTACACCAGAGAATTACTTTGTTGGGCTAAAACCATGATGAAAGTTGGGCAGTGGGATAGCTCTGCTTCCCAAGTTCCATACTGTGCAAGGAAAGAACTCTCTCCCACAGGCTGTCCTGACTGCCAGATGCCCTACCACGCACGTAAGCGTGCACGCGCACACACACACACACACACAAATATCTAATTTTAAATGCAAAATAGTAAACAGTTTTCTTGCGGACAACTGGAAAACATAAAATACCACCTATCCCTTTCAGAAGGGCTGTGTTTTGTCTTATATACACCATTATAGCTCTGCCGTTTGCTTCATAGCAACTTCATTTTTCTTACATGTGATCCAACGCTTTGGGTTTTGTTTTGTTTTGTTTTCCCTTCAAGACAGGGTTTCTCTGTGTAACAGCCCTAGCTGTCCTGAAACTTCCTCTGTAGATCAGACTGGCCTCAGACTCAAAGAGATCCACTTGCCTGTGCCTCCCAAAGGCGTGCCCGACCACCACCAGGCTGGTTGTCAGTAATAATGAAGCCTCCTCTAAATTTCTTGGTGCATATAGCTCTGCTATCCATGTATCTTTCTTTCTTTTTTGTTTTTGAAACAGGGTCTTATACAGCTCTGGTTGGTTACGTGTGCCTGTCCCGTCTCAACCTCCATTGTACTGGGATTCTAGGTGTGATCAACTCCCGGCTTTAGTTCCTTATTTCCTTGTGAGGATGAGGTAGACTCCTCTAGGAAGAATGAGGCTCTGTGTAAATATCACACTTAGGAAGCATACAGTCTGTGCTTACAGCAAGGGAAAATAACATAAAGGTACCTCCAATTTCTTCTGATACTTTTCACACTCCAACTGGCACTGTGCGAGATTTCTTGCAGTTTCCTCTTGCAGGAGTTGAACACGTTCACTTTCAAAGGACTTCAGCTTACTCTGATGCAGAAATTCAGACACTTTGCTTTCTGTACTCAGCTGGAGCTCCCTGTACCTGAAAGGGAAGGAGGTGAAGGGCCTCAGGGCAGGCAGAAGCCTTTCCGGAAGCGCAAGCCTCAATTCTCCTTTCCCACACTACACAATTAACAATGCATCGTTATCCAGAAAAGCTTCCATAACTTAGTCAGGCATATGTATAGATACATACTAAAATGTCCACTTGATTACTATAAGAAAATTGTGTGCCAATTATCAAATGATATATTTAACAACATACACAGGAACATTCTCTTTATTTCATAAGTATAACTGTAGCAAAAATATTTCTAATTAATGTACAAATCACAAAATATTCCATATTGATCATATTCTAAGAGAAAGCAAAGCAGACACACTGTATTTCTTCCACGGGTCCCCCATGAATCCAGAAAAATGTTATGTTATTAAAATTAATTTATTCAAATTTTATTTACTAACTTTAAGAAATAATGGGACTTCACTAGACAAAAGGTTGTTCTTTTTTCATTAAAGGAACTTATAATTTCTAGGGAAGATAGGAAAATAAACATGAAAATTCAAGAGTGATTCAGTATGATAAGCTCCAGGTTCGATGGAATACACAGAAAAGCGCCCCCCCCCCGTGTGTGTGTGTGTGAGTGAGATCTAAGAATACCGGCTTTAATGTACATGCCAAAGGCCACTTCACTCATGGCACACCTGTCTGGTAATAGTGTCTTACATGCAGGCTAGAGAAAGTTCCAGACAGGGCATGTAAGGTAACTTGTAATAGCAAGGCTTTAAGACAAAGCTAGCTTTTAGGTTGTTTTGGAAAGCACTAACATAGATTTAAAAAGGTCTTATGATTTAATTAAAAACGGTTTTATTGGTTCGAGGCTGCATAAGCACAAGGACTTGAGTTCACATCCCTAGCATTCACAAAGTCATGATGGCACCGGGCAGACAGAGACATGGACATCTCTGGGGCTTGCTTGCTACCCTGTGCAGCTAATGACTTCCAAGTTCAGTGAGACCCTGCCTCAAAAACTAAGGTCAAGAGCAACTGAAGAAGACATGTGATACTGACCTCTGGTCTCCACACCCACACAAGTGTACATTGTGGCCTCAACACATATGTACACAAACATATACCTTCTTATGTGGTAAAATTATATGTGGAAATATAATTCATAAACCACAAAGCTCACCATATCAAGTAGGACAATTCAAAAGTATTTAGTAAGTTCACAAAGCTATGCACCACTGGTATCTGAAACAACAATTTTAGTGTGTACACGTGTGTGCATATGTGTATGAAGGTCAAAGGGTATCCATAGGTGCCATTCCTTGGGAACTGTCCATCTTACGTCATGAGACCAGGTCTCTTGCTGAGCCCTCTCCACTGACCAGGCTAGGTTGGCCAGCCAGCAAGCTCCACACTCTGGAGTCCTGATTCCTCCCCAGTGCTGGGGACAATAAGCACATCTCTCCATACCTGGCTTCTTGGTATGTATCTTTTCGAGTCATTCTCTACCTATTCTTTTTCTGGCCTTGACAACAATTAATTTTTGTTTGTTTTACAAGGCAAGGTTTCTCTATATAGTAATCATGGCTGTCCTTGAACTTGCCCTGTAAACCAGGCTGACCTCGAACTCACAGAGTGCTGGTATTAAAGGCATGCACCACCACTGTCTAGCTCTTTTTTTTTTTTCCTTAATGGAATTGCTTACTCTCCATGTCTCAAATGGATTCATATACTTGGTGGCATTTGATGTTTTCAATGTTTCCTCATATTGTAGAATGAATCAATACTTCATTTCTTTTCATGGCTGAATAAAATGCCACTCTGTGGGTATACCATAATTATTTATCCATTAACAAGTTGATGAGCATTTCAGCTGTTTCTGCTTTTGAGCTATTATGAGTAATGCCACTATAAACATCTGTACTTGAGGTTTTTTTTTTTTTTCGAGACAGGATTTCTCTGTATTGTTTTGGAGGCTGTCCTGGAGCTAGCTTTGTAGACCAGGCTGGCCTCGAACTCACAGAGATCCGCCTACCTCTGCCTCCCGAGTGCTGGGATTAAAGGCATGCGCCACCAACGCCCGGTTGTACTTGAGGTTTAATAAACATGCTTTCATTTTCTGAATTGTCCAACTATTTTCCAATCAAGTTGTGGCATTTTACATCCCATCAGTGACAAAGTGTGACAGTTTCATCACATTTCTTTTAACCCTTATCAATTTTCTGCTTTATTACAACTGTTCTAAGAGGTGTAGAGTAATACACATTTATCATGCTCAAAAATTAATTCAGTATTTTACTGTAATGAAAATATCTTTCCTCTTTAGGCCAGGTCATATTATAAACTTAAATGCATGAAACACACGAAATCATCAGGCATGGTGCCACACACCTGATCCCATACTGGGGAGGGGGAAGCAAGAGGATAGGGAACTGAAGGTCATCCTCACCTACACAGCAAGTTCAAGGCCAACCTAACATTTTTTGAGACTGTCTCAAAAAATCAAATTCACGCCAAGCAACCCCAAATCAAAGGCATAATGTCAATACTTTTTCTGAATGCTAAACTGCAGGGCATATATAAACTATGTAACTAAAGTAGATTTGGATTAGTAATTGAGAATGTGGTCCTGACCTTTAGGTGGTTTGTTTTAGAAAGATTAATCTGAAAAGTTTGCTTTTTGTAGGGTTAGAACTCTTTAGGTGATTTTCACACCGATGGCAACTCCAAACATTAGACCAGCTCTTAGCGCCACCTGATCTTATTCATCTTGGCACCTGCAAGTTCAACTCAGCACTCATGTTCTTTCCTTATATTAAAACACGAAGCTGTAGACACATTCAGACACTTAGAATATAGAATATAGGGAACTCCAACAGAAAACAACAAATGTCTCCTAGAAAGAAATCGGAGTCTAGTAACGGGGCTTCTCTAAAACCAAATGATAATTCTCAACACTAACTGATTTTCATGTTCTTTAACCAGGAAGAGAACTTGCCTTCAGCCATTGTGTCTTTGTAAGTCTTGATAATTTTCATTTGCTGAACTGAACTGTGAAACGCTGAACACACATAACAGCTACAAAAGCAGGTCTAGCAGTGAGGGACTGGGGATGCCTGGAGCTCAGCCTGCAGTTTCAGGTGCCTCCCACTGAACCTGTTTTGCTCACAGAACCTGCTGCATTCTCCACTGCTGACTCACATGGCTCAGCTCATCCTCTCAACCTGCACTCTTACTTGAACCAGTATTGTCCACACAGAAACTTCATGTCTGACAGTCCCTTCAGCAGGGTGACCTTGGGAGGTCAAATTCATTATAACAATGAATCAGAATCTGTCCTTGCAGCCATCTTGTCCCGGGCCTCATCTGGCGACATTTGTCATTAATGCTATATTGTAACCAGCTCTAGTTTTCCTAAGAGTCACCTAGACATTAAAGTACTTTAGAACAAGCACAGAAAGTTCTAGACTGAGCTGGTTCACGGCAACAGAAATTTAAGATCTAGAAGTGCAAAGCAGGAAGTGAAAATCCGCTGTTACATAGGAAGTTACAAGCAAGTTAAACGTCAAGAAATCTCTCAAGTTGGGAGTGGGGGAGAGCCCTGTGGGGAGAGTTTGCAAGCATGAAGAGCAGAGCTGCATTCCTCGAATCCACATTGAACAGAGCAGGGTGGGTAGCCTACGCTCACAATCCCAGTTCTGGAGGGGCAGAGACAGGCAGACCCCTGGGACTCCCTCCCTGGGCAGACAATCAGCACACTAGGTGAAAAGCCCCCTCGCAGAAAAACAAACCAAACCCACGGATCACCAGAGCAACAACACTTGAGTCTGTCCCTGAACCGCCAAAGGGCCTGCATACCAGTATGCACACAAGCACACACACATACCCAGCACAAATTAAGAAGGGGGGGGGGGGGATGCTAGCAACAAGGTCAAGTAACATTTATTTTCAGGCCTTTCGCAGGTTTTCTTTGTATGCCCCTCCCACCCCAGTATCTTCTTGTTTCAGGTGACGCTGGCCCTGGGGCTCACTTTGTAGGACACACGCGTCTTTGCACTGCTCATCTTCCTGCTTCGACCTCCCAGTGCTGAGACTGCAGGGGTGTGCCACCGTACCAGGGACCAGTGATTTCCGCTCCTCTGCCTCCAGTACCTCCTCCTCTCTCCTCCTTCCCTCGCCGTTTCCTTCCTCGTCGGCAACTGGACACAGACACAAGTGCTCTGCTCCTAAGCCTCACTCTCCCCCATTATGAAACTTGTATTTCATCTCAGTTCTTCATTCAAATGAGAAAGAACTGCTTTTTAAATTTGGTCTACAAAATATTTATGGTCTACAAAATATTTAAAATTGGACATTTATTCGGAACACAACTACCTAATCTCATTTTGTAGACGAGCAGTGTACGGCAAAGTGCCCAAAATGTCTTGTATTTAGTGACAATGTCCATGCAATCACCAGAACCAGGAAATGACCAGCATATTAGGGAATTCACCAGCTGGTCCTGTTTGGAAGTAAGACAATGAAATGGTTGAGGCAGAGCCCTTGTCTGTGGACAGCAGGACAACTGCGTATAGAAAAAGGGAGGATAGACACTCCCGACTCTGGGCAGTTTGGCAAAATGTAAGCACGGCGGCAGCACGAGGGAGGCAGGGTTCTCAGGAGCTGCAGGAAAAGCGCCCACAGACTAGGGAACGCTGCTGCTCCCAGTCCTTTTAAGATGGGCCGGTACCAAGTATCCCATGGCCTCCCAGTCTGGCCTAGGGACTGGGAAATCCTGACTGTAGAGCATTTTAGTTCTAATTCTACAAGTGACTGGGGGCAAAGGCTTCGGGAAAACTTTCTGCACTTGAAGGCAATGCTTCAACCCAGATACGTCCTCGGCTCTCAAGCCTTTAGTGCATTTAGCTGTAGGAAATGGGAGTCGACAAGGGCAGACGCTAGCGGACCTAATCAGATGAGAATTACATCTTGCTCGTGGGATGATTGCTGCTCATATTTCCATTTATTTCCCTCTCCTCTGCACAAGTAGTTTA